TCCCATCATATTCTAATCATCGGTTGCCTAGATGTCCATGCCTTCCTCGCATGGTTTTGACATTTCTTTCGATTGCACCCACAAAAAGGTCAAGTTCTCCACTGGCCCTCAAGCCCAGTACACGCACTGGAAGTACGTTGGACTCGTCTCGTCGTGTCAAAGCTGCTAATATACGCGTCATCAGGCAGACCGTCTTCTACACCCCAACAACATTGACACTGTCAAAGGGGCAGTCGGTTACGGGACGTCTGAGCTGCGCACCGAACACACGGAATAACCGTGATCTGGACATTGTCATCACGCACAAGCTCGGTGACGAGGAGACGACAATCCAGTACAAAATGTTCGTACCGTTTCTTGCCTTCACTTTTTTTCGCTTCATTTCTCCGCTCTACTGCTCCCTCAATGCAACAAAAGGTGGGAATCGTGTGCTAACCGCGTTCTAGGTCTTGAGCTAGATCCTTCCCCCCATTTATCCCCCTCCCCCGTTTCACCGCGTTTTACTTATTCTACCGTGCCCGCTTGGCAGGTATTAATCGGACCCTCATCCGGCCGCCCTATGGCGCAGATCCGCCCCGCCGCCCGTCGTCATGTTATCCATCCAACGCTACATCTTGTTTTCATCTGGTCGTCATTAGTTGACAGTGGTTAGTCGCGTCGCACATCCGCAGGCGGCATATAGAGCTGCAATGATTATTCTCGGAGTACACATACATTGTTTCACGATGTAATATATAAAAATGTCAAGTTATAACTTGGCCATGTGCTCGCATCTATTCCTCTTGAGCACGACGCTCAGCGCGCCCGCTAGCGCCTCTGACGGCCGAGCCGAAAAGGCCCAACACGCTGCGGCAATTGTTCCCCTATCTAACTTCACATGCGCACGCTCATCCTTTCACCAGAAACACGCCAGCGAAGAGAACAAGTAGCGAAGTCAGAACGAACATGCGTATCTCTGACCCCGCGGCCGAGCTCTCAAGAAGAATGCCCAACACACCGCGTACGCCCGTGGCCGCTTTCGCCACCGAGCCCGGCGGCCGCATATCCAGCACATATCGCCGTACGCGCCGTGTAGCTCCAAAGCCATACGGCCACACCGTCGTGTCGCTCTCTCGCACACGCAGTGCCGTGGGTAGTCCGTACGCGTCGGGTACCAGTGTGAACAAGGCGCCTGCCTTTTTCGTGCGCGGGAAGGGATACAGGGGGCGGCGGGGGAGAGCGTGGGGGTAGGAAGGGGGCACGAATGCGAGCGAGAAGGAGATGAGGCGGGGGTTCGCGCGCGCGATGCGCACGCCGGCGGCGGCGAAGGAGAGGTCGCCTGCGCTGACGAGTGTGAGCGAAAGGGTGCGGAGGCGGCGGAAGGCGGGGAGCGCTTTCGCTAGGGCTTCCTGAGTAAATACGAGAAGTAAGTGCGCAGCACCGTCACAAAGAGACAAACGTACGAGCTGGAAAGACGTGTTTCTGACGCAGCTGAGACTGAGGTGTTGGAGGTGGGGACACGAGGAGATGAGCGCGCGGAGGATGCTGTTGCTATCGTACGGCGAATGGAGCATGAAAGAGATGTTGAGTTCATTTAACGACGTCAGCTGCTGGAGCACACTGGAGATAGTCATGGTCGTTACGTCGCGGGACCAGACAGGATCGCGAAAGGTCAGGGATTTGAGGGTCGGATATGAGTGGGAGAGTGCCTGCAGTTGCGCGAGGGTGCCAGAAAAAGACGTGAGTTTCATTGTGTCAGCTTCCAACGAGTTCAGTTGGACAGGATCCAAGTTGTGCCGCGAAAGACAGAGACTTTGGAGCTCGGTGTGAGCTTCGAGAAAGGTGATGAATGAAGATCTGCCGGGTGGAACGACAGGGTCCCAGGTGATGGAAACATCACCCAGCGCCAACTTGCGAAGGCGAGGCCATCGGCCATCGACCAGAAAGCGGGCCTCGGCTGGGAATGATGAATAGCCTTCTATGACCAGCTCCTCAAGATTAGGGCAATGTTTGAACAGCATATCCCAGAGCTTCTTGCTTCCGGGCCGCTCATCTACTGGAAAAATAAATAACACGTTGAAGGTTCATGGATATGTTACCGTCTAGGAGCGACTGTATGTTATTCTGATAAAATCCCGGAGCCAAAAATATGGAGAATCCGAGGAGATCGGTAAAATTGAACAGCTGAAGGAGACTCAGTGGTGTGTTTCCGGTTGGAACAGGCGACGCACATGGCTGCTGGAAGGAAAGTATGCACCTATGCTAGTGCAAAGGTACTTCAATCGAGGGCAGCTGGAACCTTTCAAAATGCAGCAAAGGCAAATATTGCTGATACAAACCACATGCGGAGAGCAAGCCACATTTCTTCATGAAAGGCAATCTCATCGTCCCACCAGGTAAATTTGCGCAGAGCGTCGAGACATCTTGAAGCAGCCAACTCTGCGACTGCTGCCGAGGCAGCTCTGCTATCAAGAACCGTCTGGTCGTTTGACCGAGACGGTCGGATGACGAGTTCTTGGACATGACGAACAATATCCTTGCGTCGTTTGAGCATTGCCAGAGTGGAGGCGCATTGAGTAGCGGTACGTAGGACCACTGAATGATAAAGTGCCGGTCCCGCAACGCTGGAGAAGAGGGATTTCGACTAGTAGTAATCAGAACTTTAGAATAACTCTGGTCGCGTGAGCACTAACAGTCAGGCAGAGATTGAGCAAATCGGAGCGGTATTCCAGATGGGTCGCGATTTCCAGCAGTAGGTCTGTGGGCGTAGAGCTGAACGATACGGTTGCCATGAAGGAAGAAGGCAAACCGGAGGCACGGTGCCTTCATCTGAGATTATCTTATCGGCTGATGTGCCGAGATTGCGACTTCATCATGATGTATGGCACATTGCAACATGATTTGACGTTGGAAGACGGCCAAGGAAAGATGTTACGAGTCAATACATAGAGCAGGAAAACAGAATATATCTTGCGTCGAACTCATTCAGAGCCAGCAGATCTATCCATTTCAGCTTCAAGTACCCCTCGCCGCTATATATGCATCTTCGCTCACTCACATTTATGTCCGATATGGTGTAGCGGTAACATATGTGCCTCTCTGGAAATTTTGATTTTCATTAACAGGCCCCTAATCGGATTGCTTTTTTGGGAAATATCATTCCATTTTGGGAAGGATCAAAAAAAAAGCCGTTCGCGCCCACTGCAGCGTCTTTCGTCCACAAGCGCACGAGCTCGCGTCAAACGTGTCGCCGGCACAAACATCGTAGCTATAGACTCCTCACTCCCCACCCGATGCGACTTGGCGAACGCACGCACAGCACAGCCGCAATTCCGTTTTCTGGAACTGTGGCTGTGGTCCATTCAAAGCGCGCCATATCAACCAGCGGCCACACTCGCGACACCCTAACGTCGCAGCATGCACAAAGCCGAAACCTGCTGGCCAGTCCGACGAGCTCGACCCCCCATCGTGCGTCGAACACCCATCTTGCTTGCGTCGGCTCATCGCTGCTGCGTTCCCGCAGTGCTAGGCTGGCTCACTGTGTCATCTTTCATTCTGTCAGTCCCTGCTCTCTCCTTATCCTTTATCTTAATCGATCCCAATCCAATCTCCCAGTGAGAGTATGATCCTCGGCACGATATGCTGGCGGGATTTCGACAAGGGTCACGTACGTCCGCTTCCCACGGCTGCTTGCTCATTTACCATCTACGCCGAAGACGCGCTCGCCTCCCTCAACTTCACCCCCGGAGTCTGGTCAAACGCACCAAGTGTCGCTCGATGGCGTCGTCCACCCTAATCTTCAGACCAAGTAATTATGTTTTATTGATACGACTTCGCAGTGGTAATATCAACAGATACTGCCAAAAATCTGGAGTGCAAGTCAGACGACGCGCTGCAACTCGGACGACGCGCTGAGACCAAAGTGTCACGTGGGGCGCGTCGAAAACGGTTCATAGGCGAACTGTAAGGACTGAAGTGAGTGTATTCCTGCAATTCTCAGCCCTTTCCCTTCAAATAACAGCAGCGTCTGGACACCATCAGTTGCGTACCCACATTGCACGCTAAACGAATGCCGCGACACGGGAAAAAAGAAAAAGTGTCCGGGCGGCGAAATTTTATGTCTCTTGGTTGATTCGAACAGCCAATTGTATCGTCTCGGACGCCTTAGGGCCAAGGAGGCTGAAAGTTTAGGGACTATGTACAAGATATAATCATCCGAAGCGTCAAACCTCTTCGACCTGGACAAACATTCGTCGGAGCACCCGCTCAATCTGTACGCCACGCAGCGGTGCCTTCGTACAGCCGTGCCAAGTGTTTTCCGTGGAGCGGGCTGCGTCGCCTCGGTACCAAGTATCCTCCGCGAAGCGGGGTCGGCCAGTTCTGTACCAAGTTTTCTCCGCGGAGCGGGTGCGTCGGGCCTGTACCAAGTGTTTTCCGCGAAGCGGGGGTCGGCCTGTTCCTCTATCAAGTGTTCTCCGCGGAGCGGGTGTGTCGGCTCGGTACCAAGTATCCTCCGCGAAGCGGGTGCGTAGGTGTCTGCTAAAATGGCAAAAAAGTACTAAGTCGAGATCAAATTTAGACTTAGAATTTTTGCGCGATGGCGAGGTCTGCGGCAAAAAAAGCACTAAGTCGAGATCAAATTCAGACTTGGTGCTTTTTTGCGAGGGATGCAGTGGTGGCGACGGTAAAAAAGCACTAAGTCCCCATCAAATTCGGACTTGGTACTTTTCATGAATCGGGGTCTGCGAGGCAGAACGAAATTCGGGCTTGTAATTTTTTCGTTAGTTGCGCTATCTGGTTGCAAACAGATCGTGAGCTAGCTGTACTTCACTTATTTATTTTCCCTGCTGACGTTCGGAAGGGCACCACTTACACATCCGAAAGCATCTCCCGCTCGACTAGACCGACCCTCTCACACCCGAGCCTCGTCGTGTGAATATGAGGACGACGACGGAGGAAATGGTGGAGGGAACGCTACATCTTGCTGTGAATGTGACTACCTCATCCGCTCTTCTTATATGTCCATCATGGTGTAAAGGTAACATACCCGCCTCTCATGTGACCGTGTGGTCCTGAGGATAACGCGAGTGCTCGGGGTTTGATTCCCCGTGTTGGAACTTTTGCAGTCTACGTATTCATTTTCATAATGCGACAGCTTGAAGTTTGTGATTTTCTTGCAACTGCCTTTTTGGAAAAGATCTCAGAGAAAAAGACTACACCGCCACTGACCAGAGTCCGGTCAGCGGCTGTGCTGGCGTTGACATTCGCTCCGCCACGTCACGAACCTCGGCGCTGCACTTGCCCATGTCGCTGGCGTCGATTCCATTGTCGTGCAGAGCTATCAGATGCTGAGCGTTATTCCCGCCGTCCACATTCTGGTCTTGCCCACCTCGCGTCAAATGCGTCGCCAACAGAAACCTGGGTCGAATTCATAGACTCGCCACTCCCTGCAAACACCCACCCGACGCGACTTCGCGAACGCACACACAGCACGCCCGCAGTTCCGTTTTCTGGAACTGTGGCTATGGTTCAGCAACCACCGCTGCGGTGAGTTCCTTTTCTTGGTGGTTCACTTTCTATCCCGCTTCCCTGCTTGCAGTGCTCGAACCCGGGCCCCTGCAGAGAAATTGGACTGGGAACGCGTTGCCAGAAATCTTTACGCTGACGCTTCCCTTATCCTTCAGATGCTTTGCAACCTTCCTCTGGCTTCAGGCCGGTAAGCCCTGTATTTCTACTCCTTTTCAAATGTTTGACGCCCCGCAGCACAATCTTCGCCGCATGGATCACCAACCTCGACTTCCGGACCTCTCCTGTCGCTGGCAATTTCCATGCTGAGCGCTCACAGCGCCACCACTCCCGCATTTCCCGCCGCGCGTTGGATGCAGCCGCCTTTGCAAGGGAAGCGCTTGACAGCAGGTCACGACATGCGTGCCCATCCTCGGTGTAGCTTCCATGGCGCAGCGGTTTATGGCGTGCTCTGTCTTATCCCGCACGACACGTCGTTCGATACCGCTGACATGCGATATTTTTCCGTGCGCCCCTCGCCAAATTTCGCCCCAAATTTTGGAGTATAATTTGTCAGCAGGTCCAACATGACACAATGCAAACAACTCTTTGACTCTCCATAGAACTCCCTTGAAAGTGGATGCATTCCAAGCCGCGTCGTTTAGAGTGTTTGGTTGGCACATTTCTCATCGCCTAGCACCTCCGTGCTAGTCGCGTAGAGCAAGTGCAAGCATGCGGAATGAATTAGGAAACAACCTTGTCGATGTGCGCTATGCAGTCGCGTATGGGCTGCACCTTGCGCTTTTGAGGTTCTGATTTCTTAACGGACGCGCATTAAGTGGTGTGAGTTTTGTGATCCTTTTCTTTTTCGTGGATGGCGACATGTCATTTAATTAATGCGGGTCGAAACGACTGCAGGTACAACCCCCAAACCCGACTGCACTGAGAAGCATTGCCAAGCAGATTTGAATTCAGCTGCTCGACATTGATTTCCGCGCGTCACTCTTGACATTGATTTCCGCCTCAATGGACGCGTCCCGGAAACGAAGAAGCCCGGCCACATATATAAGGTGCGCACTGGGCTTCACTGCTCTTCGTTCGCCCTGTGGGTGACGCATACCCCAGACCTTTTTCTTGAACTGTCTTTATTTTCTTGAACTGCACATATTTCACAATGGTCCTCCTCTCCCGTCCTCCCATGACGTACCAAGAACGTGCGGACCAGAACCGCCAAAACAATCCCGACCTCGATGCTCTCCTTACCGAAAACCTCGACAACACGCTTCACTTCAAACAACTGGTCCGGCCAACCCTCGAGGCTCATGAAAGATGTCGCAAAAAGTGGCGCGACTGGGTTACTAGCTACCAGACAACGTACCCAGACTTGCCCAGCGAGATCGAGGTGGGCATGGCTGAAATCTCGGAGGGTACGTTGCGCGACTTGGCGTCCTTCGTTTCACTCATATGAATCACAGGCGCCATCAAAAGTTTTCTTAGCTACCTAGCCACAGCTATCCCGGGCAGGATAGACGTCATGCCGACACAGAAAACCATTCTAGACAACTTGCGTACTTTGGTTGCCTGCATGCGACGCCACGCCAAGGTTTACCTGCCGAAGAATATCACGAATGAGCTGAACACTTTTGTACACTCTGCTGAAATCACCCGGGCGGTCCAACTAAGCACCAATATTCGTCCAAAGCCGATTGCGACCTCGCACGACCTCGATGAAATGATTCGTCATGTCTGGAACGATCAAAAAGTTTTTGCGACCCTCCGCTCCAAGGTGCAATTCAACTGCGTAAACACCATTGCGGCTCTCACAAGCCAGCGTCCCGGCGCTATCATCGAAAGCTCCAGCTATCGCGGGACGAACGAATGTCTGCAGTGGCAAGACGTCGAGTTCATCGTGGTGCCGAATTCGGATGACCCTGCCCACCCTCGCCTCGTTGTCGGACTGCTCTTCCGATATCTCAAGGGCCGTCGTGGAAAAGTAGCTCACTTCCTGCGCTACATGCTCGTTCTCGAGCCAGCCGGCCGACGTGCTACTTGTGTGGTATCCATGCTGCTGTACCTGGCTTTCGAGGACGGCATCTTCGAGGATGTACATAACATCGAGGCGATCTTGTTCCCGAGGTTCTCCCCAACGTCGTCGCACACGCTGGCCATCAAGACTTCCCACAAAGAGCAACCAGTCTTCCGCTCCGAGGAGGTTGTCAAGGGCGTCTACGAAATCTCAGACGTCCGAGCCCTCACCGCCTCCCGTCACAACTACACGCTGAACAAGACGGCCTATAATATGGGCTACAAAGGTATGTGCAATATTATCCATTCCACTGTCCTCACAATCTGCGCAGTCAACGTTAGTATGTACGTGTGGCGCCGTGGAGCGTCAAACAACTTCAACACCTGCTTTAAGGGCGACTTGCGAGATGCGCTTTTGAATCACAGAACTGGGGGGAAAATGTTTGCGGTGAGTTATTTTTGTTCAACTCAGTTCATGACTTATTCACGGATGTATCAGAGTGCGTACCAGACACGTTCCCATGCTCAGGATTTTGGGGCCGTGCTCCATGGCAGAGAGGACGACGAGGAATCAATACGGTCTGCCCAGGTATTTGATAATCTACTTGTTCACCACAATCCATGAATCTGACCGACCTCAAATGACAGACCGCCACAACTATGAGTGTCGACAGGGATCGCGATGCGCCAACCGCGCTGGACTTGTGCGACCTAGCGGAGCTGGATCGAGAGCCAGAAATGGTCGTGATGAGGGCAACCAAAACTGGGGTTAGTAACACAGCCTGCCATCTCCTTCCCTGAATGCCCCTCATGTGTCTGGTAGCTCCGCGCCGCAGCCGCGACCATCGTGTTGAGCCTCAAGTCGCTATCGGAAGATGCTGCAGACGACGAGGCGAGGGCGAACTTGCATGGTGATTTACGAACCGCCACGCTCAAATTAAAGGCGCATATGGCAAGCTACAGGGCCATCAGAGCTCGGGAGTTGCGCACGCGCATGAAGACCAAGCGTGAATTGTGGTACAAGGGCACGTCGAGAAGGCAGCTCACTGGCGAGGTGAGTCTCTTGTTACAATCCTGGATCGTGCCCTGAATTGTGCACAGGCTCAAAGTGCCCGTAAGCCACTAAATGACAAAACAGTCAATGCGGTAGTCCCATACAAGCATCGCGTTGTTGACTCGTCCGGCAAGGAGAACATTGAAATAACCTCCAAGAGCCTGATTAACATGAGCCCCATCAACCCACAAGACGCCCTCTTTGACGTCCTTTACCATTCGGCTGATCCATGCCTAAGGACAGAGGTTGCAGCGACGGTGGACATGTACCTTGGGCTACCCAAGCGTCGGTATGCTCTGTGCTACCCCGGAGAGTATCCTACCGCAGACGAGAAGTGTCCAGGGTGCGGAGAAGACTGCAGGTACGCGTCAAGTTGCGGAAACCTTTAATATTCTGATCATTTGACCTTTCAGGCGTGGTGTGTTCAACACGCAGGCTAGAGGCAACAGCATCGGCGGACACATCCACGAGTGCCATCAGGAATCCCTCGAGAAGTCTGCACTGCAATCCGTCGTGGATTCGTATCAACCTCAAGGATGTTTCTGGTCTGGCTGCTCCGACGCCGAAGCCTGCACGACATTCGCCAGTCGCGATTCGTTTGTTAATCACGTCCGACTGCATCTCGACGAGATGGACCGGGACAGCCAGTGCCAGTGGCTTGTCGAAGAAGACCACCCCTGCGACGACTCCGATATCGTGGACTGGCTTCTACATCTGGCGCGCGAACATAATGTCAATGTGCGCACCAAGATCCAGGTCAATTATTGTGTGATCTGTCCCGAATGGTGAGTATTCGCTCAAGTTTTGTGTTTTGCTCTGATCGCTCCGCAGGACGATAGACAGTTCAGGAGACGGCATGGCCTGGGAGGCGCATCTGTGGCGTCATTACGAGGACCAGTTCCAAGCCTTCGACGCGCGAGCCGACGATCAAGTCAACCTTACACCAATCGGGGTCGAGTTCACCGCTGCCATCGACAATGCCGTTGAGTACGAGAACGGCACGGGGTTCAATGGTGCTCTGCCCGAGTTTCACGGGGAGATAGTCGACTCCATTCCCCTTAGCCCAATGCACTGCCCATGTTGCGTCTTCGATGCGACGCTCGAGATCGTGGAGCGTATGAGGCAGTATGTTTTCGATTTCTTTCAGCAGTAGAAAGTTGCTCATGCTCATTCAGATTCACCAGCAATGAATCCTTCTTCCGTCATTTGGGAACTCATGATGCATCCATTGAGGACGACAACAACCTCTGCCCTGTTCCTTCGTGCGGGACGCACAACTTCTCTCGTTTTGATCTCGAAACGCACCTCATAGCGTTTCATCGTGTCCCCCTTTTCAGTACCACGAGGGCCACGGCTATGCGACGGCTCAAGCTCCCTCCCCCGCCCACGCTCCCTGATGCTACGAGGCCCGTCATCGATCTCGCACATCTCCACGACCAAGACACCGGCCCTGACACCGACCGGAGCCAAGCAAAACCGTTGTCAATTGACATTCAACGGAAATTGGTGCGTCGTGCTCAACGCGTGTGAACG